GTTATATTTTTACATTTGGGTCATGACACGGTCTCCTTCACTTACATGTTCAATTTCATCAAGCCCTCATAGGAGTGTCTAACTAAAATGAAGCACATTTTGAGAAGGTTATATTTTTTCATAAATAATCAAGTCTGGACTAGACAAACCAGTGATAGTTACCTATACTACTCCACTTTTGATAGGAATTTTTATATCTTTCCATGATACTGATTCTCATATATCATGTGTGTATTGAAACAGAATGACATCTGATTATCACAATCAAAAGTTGAATCGTATTATTTTGATCCAGATTCTCACAGATTTGTATTTGCAATGCTGATAAACAATCAGTGTTTTCATATTTACGATCTGATTGTAAAAACCATTGCACAGAAATATTAACATTCAAAATTAAAACATTCGAAAGCCTCAACTCACACAGTTGATATGAAACAGCGAGTACCCAACACCATCCCCAAACCTCAAACCCTGTCATGTTTAATTCCTCATTAACCGATTAAACACGATTAATGCCATGATAATTTCGTGATAAAGGTTCATTTCAAATCACCAGTAACAGCAGAACAAATGTGTATATACGTGTGTCAATATACGAGTATGATTCATTGACTGAAGCTTCGTGGTTGCATTTGTGACTTGTGTTAATTGTGTTAACGTGTGATGCTCCATTGAACAGGTAATAACTAAGTATTGGGTGAGTGTGTAACACTCTAAACAGTGTTAATGGTGTATTTGTTCTCATAACAAAACATCACACAGACACATCATTATGATGCAAGATGGCTTTTCTAGAAATGGTGTAAACAGGCCTGACGATTCCTGCTCCATTACACCGCACAGCGACAGCAACTGTTCAAATATGTGTTTAGTCATGGAGGAAATGTTTCTCCTCTTGTGGTTTTATGGCCTCCAACTTCATAGGAATGTGTGTTTGTTCAAAAGATGCTAAAAGACCTAAGATGGCTTTTGATGAGTCTTGCATGATTGATTGTCAAAATTCGTAACTGTTTTCACTTTTTTACATTTGTTTTTATGTATGAGCTGTTTTTTTCATCTTTCTGTCGGACGGGCAGCAGTTTGCTTGGAATGTTGAAAACCCAGCTTGGTTCCTCTCATGGTCTTGTGTTGAGAGTGAGTGAGTTTGGTTCAACACAGCTTTGAAGAGTATTTTGGTTATATCATGGTGGGTCAACTTGATGTGGAGGAAGATCCAAGGTGATGCAGGCGTGGCAGGGTGTCATCCCACAGATGACATCCTTACCTTGTCTTGCTGACAGAGTTCACCTCTTTGGTCAGGGGACAAGGCATCTGACCTCTAATCAGAAGGTCTGTGGTTCAAATCCAATCACAGGACTCGGAAATTGTATGGCCGCTACACAGGCGTAATATGTGTTGCTCTTTTGTGAAACCCACAAACATGGGTATGACCATAGGTTACTGGCATGTCTAAGGGAAGCAACTCTGCACCTCATACAACTGGGCCACCTGTGATCATCTTGTTTGTGAATTTATTTTTTGGTGTCCCCAGAGCAAGCTATTGCTTGCGTAATATTATGTTAGTTTGTCAGCTCCCCATGAATCTTTGTAAAGCTGTACTATATATGTTCCAAACAAGGCTGGTTTGGGTGGCTCAGTTGTCTAAGGCAGCACAATTCACAGTGCTGAGTTGCTTCCCTTGGGCACACCTGAAACCTATGATTGTGGGTTTCGGATCCCAGTTCATCCTGATTATGTTTCTAGGTTTGTCAGCAGCATACCCATACTTGTGGGTTTCACATCTAAGACCTGCATCACTTCAGGCTTTCCTCCCTCATTAGGCAGACTGGAATACTGTTAAAAGCTGTGTTTAACCCAACTCACTCACTCACTCACAGAGAAACGTTTCTCATAGGAGGGTGAGGCGTGTTCAGAATCTTCACGATGTTTAAGAATTAAATCTTTAATAACTATAATAATAGCTTATTATAATAGGATTATTGTTTGAAGTGAGAAAACCAAGTAGTGTTTAAGATAAGTGTAATTTGAAAACTGCTATAATATTTAGCAAATGTTCAATGCAAGGGCAGTTAAGGCTGAAAACAACTGACAAATACTCTTCTCTTGAATTCTCATGCTCTTGTGTAACTCCAATCTTTTATTATTTAGGAGTTGAAACCAGATAACCTAAATTATTACGGACCCTGCACATTGAACAATCAAAGCTGAAATGTTCGCCGCTTGTAGCAATGTTTATTTTCACCAACAATTACGCTGTAGTTTCGGATGCCACAACAAAAGCCCTGTAGAGTATAATTGAGTTTGTCCTTGATCTACTTTCATGATGCAGATCTCGGTTATTATTGTTCTTTTGAAAAAATTTGTTTTGTTTCATTTATCATACCGTACAACCTTTGAAAATGCAGTCAGACATGTTTGGGACAACGTTTTGCTTCTCCCCTCACAGATTCTTGTGATGGAGCTTGAGAAGGGGATTGTGATGGGGATAGTGATGGAGATTGTGATGGCCTTGTGGTGGGGATTGGGTTGGGCCTTGTTATGGGGCTTGTGATGGGGCTTGTGATGGAGCTTGTGATGGAGCTTGAGAAGGGGCTTGTGATGGGGATTGTGCTGGAGATTGTGCTGGAGATTGTGCTGGGGATTGTGAAGGGGATTGTGATGGGGATTGTGGTGGGGATTGTGGTTGAGCTCTAGAAGGGGATTGTGGTGGGGGTTGTGGTGGGGATTGTGGTGGGGATTGTGATGGGGCTTGTGATGGAGCTTGAGAAGGGGCTTGTAATGGGGATTGTGATGGAGATTGTGGTGGGGATTGTGATGGGGATTGTCGTTGGGATTGTGATGGGGCTTGAGAAGGGGATTGTGATTGGGATTGTGATGGAGCTTGAGAAGGGGCTTGTGATGGGGATTGTGATGGAGATTGTGGTGGAGATTGAGAAGGGGATTGTGATGGGGAGGGGATTGTCATGGAGATTATGATGGACCTTGTAATGGGGATTGTGATGGAGATTGTGGTAGGGATTGTGATGGGGATTGTGATGGGGATTGTTGTGGGGATTGTGGTGGGGATTGTGATGGAGATTGTGGTGGGGATTGTGATGGGGATTGTGGTGGGGATTGTGATGGGGCTTGTGATGGAGCTTGAGAAGGGGCTTGTGATGGAGATTGTGGTGGAGATTGTGATGGGGATTGTGAAGGGGATTGTGGTGGGGATTGTGGTTGAGCTTGAGAAGGGGATTGTGGTGGGGATTGTGGTGGGGATTGTGGTGGGGATTGTGATGGGGCTTGTGATGGAGCTTGAGAAGGGGCTTGGAATGGGGATTGTGATGGAGATTGTGGTGGGGATTGTGGTGGGGATTGTGGTGGGGCTTGTGATGGGGATTGTGATGGGGCTTGTGATGGAGATTGTGCTGGAGATTGAGAAGGGGATTGTGATGGGGATTGTGGTGGGGATTGTCATGGAGATTATGATGGACCCTTGTAATGGGGATTGTGATGGAGATTGTGGTGGGGATTGTGATGGGGATTGTGGTGGGGATTGTGGTCGGGATTGTGGTTGAGCTTGAGAAGGGGATTGTGGTGGGGATTGTGATAGAGATTGTGATGGGGATTGTGAAGGGGATTGTGGTGGGGATTGTTGTGGGGATTGAGAAGGGGATTGTGAAGGGGATTGTGGTCGGGATGGTGATGGAGATTGTGATGGGGATTGTGATGGGGATTGTGATGGAGATTGAGAAGGGGGTTGTGATGGTGATTGTGATGGAGATTGTGATGGGGATTGTGATGGGGATTGTGATGGAGATTGTGATGGAGCTTGAGAAGGGGCTTGTGGTGGGGATTGAAGTGGGGATTGTGGTGGGGATTATGGTGGAGATTGTGATGGGGATTGTGACTGGGATTGTGGTGGGGATTGTGGTGGGGATTGTGGCTGAGCTTGAGAAGGGGATTGTGTTGGGGATTGTGATAGAGATTGTGATGGGGATTGTGGTGGGGATTGTGAAGGGGATTGTGGTGGAGATTGTGGTGGGGATTGTGATGGAGATTGTGGTGGGGATTGTGATGGGGATTGTGATGGAGATTGTGATGGCCTTGTGGTGGGGAATGTGATGGGGATTGGGGAAAGTCTTGTTATGGGGATTGTGATGGGGCTTGTGATGGAGCTTGAGAAGGGGCTTCTGATGGGGATTGTGATGGAGATTGTGGTGGAGATTGAGAAGGGGATTGTCATGGGGATTGTGGTGGGGATTGTCATGGAGATTATGATGGGCCTTGTAATGGGGATTGTGATGGAGATTGTGGTGGGGATTGTGATGGAGATTGAAGTGGGGATTGTGATGGAGATTGTGATGGCCTTGTGGTGGGGAATGTGATGGGGACTTGGATGGGCCTTGTTATGGGGCTTGTGATGGGGATTGTGATGGAGATTGAGAAGGGGATTGTGATGAGGATTGTGATGGAGATTGTGATGGAGATTGTGATGGGGATTGTGATGGAGATTGTGATGGGGATTGTGATGGAGAATGTGATGGGGATTGTGGTGGGGATTGTGATTGGGATTGTGATGGAGCTTGAGAAGGGGCTTGTGGTGCGGATTGAATTTGGGATTGTGATGGAGATTGTGACAGAGATTGAGAAGGGGATTGTGATCGGGATTGTGATGGAGAATGTGATGGGGATTGTGGTGGGGATTTTGATGGGGATTGTGGTTGAGATTGTGGTGGGGATTGTTATGGGGATTGTGATGGAGATTGAGAAGGGGATTGTGGTGGGGATTGAAGTGGGGATTGTGATGGAGATTGTGAAGGGGATTGTGGTCGGGATTGTGATGGGGATTGTGGTGGGGATTGTGATGGAGATTGAGAAGGGGATTGTGGTGGGGATTGTGGTGGGGATTGTGATGAAGATTGTGATGGGGATTGTGATGGAGATTGTGGTAGGGATTGTGATGGGGATTGTGATGGGGATTGTTGTGGGGATTGTGGTGGGGATTGTGGTGGGGATTGTGATGGAGATTGAAGTGGGGATTGTGATGGAGATTGTGGTGGGGATTGTGATGGGGATTGTGGTGGGGATTGTGGTGGGGCTTGTGATGGGGCTTGTGATGGAGCTTGAGAAGGGGCTTGTGATGGAGATTGTGGTGGAGATTGTGATGGGGATTGTGAAGGGGATTGTGGTGGGGATTGTGGTGGGGATTGTGGTTGAGCTTGAGAAGGGGATTGTGGTGGGGATTGTGGTGGGGATTGAGAAGGGGATTGTGATGGGGATTGTGGTCGGGATGGTGATGGAGATTGTGATGGGGATTGTGATGGGGATTGTGATGGAGATTGAGAAGGGGGTTGTGATGGTGATTGTGATGGAGATTGTGATGGGGATTGTGATGGGGATTGTGATGGAGATTCAGAAGGGGATTGAGATGGGGATTGTGATGGAGATTGTGATGGTGATTGTGATGGAGATTGTGATGGGGATTGTGATGGAGAAAGTGATGGGGATTGTGGTGGGGATTGTGATTGGGATTGTGATGGGGCTTGAGAAGGGGCTTGTGGTGGGGATTGAATTTGGGATTGTGATGGAGATTGTGATAGAGATTGAGAAGGGGATTGTGAAGGGGATTGTGGTAGGGATTGTGATGGAGATTGTGATGGGGATTGTGATGGGGATTGTGATAGAGATTGAGAAGGGGGTTGTGATGGTGATTGTGATGGAGATTGTGATGGGGATTGTGATGCAGATTGTGATGGAGCTTGAGAAGGGGCTTGTGGTGGGGATTGAAGTGGGGATTGTGGTGGGGATTGTGGTGGAGATTGTGATGGGGATTGTGATGGGGATTGTGGTGGGGATTGTGGTGGGGATTGTGGCTGAGCTTGAGAAGGGGATTGTGGTGGGGATTGTGATAGAGATTGTGATGGGGATTGTGGTGGGGATTGTGAAGGGGATTGTGGTGGAGATTGTGGTGGGGATTGTGATGGAGATTGTGGTGGGGATTGTGATGGGGATTGTGATGGAGATTGTGATGGCCTTGTGGTGGGGAATGTGATGGGGATTGGGGTAAGTCTTGTTATGGGGATTGTGATGGGGCTTGGGATGGAGCTTGAGAAGGGGCTTGTGATGGGGATTGTGATGGAGATTGTGATTGGGATTGATGTGGTGGAAATTTTGATGGGGATTGTGATGGGGATTGAGAAGGGGATTGTGGTGGGTATTGAGTTGGGGATTGTGATTGAGATTGTGGTGGGGATTGTGATTGTGATTGTGGTGGGGATTGCGATGGAGATTGTGATGGAGATTTTGGTGGGGATTGTGATGGAGATTGTGATGGAGATTGTGATGAAGAGTGAAGTGGGGATTGTGATGGAGATTGTGATGGGGATTGTGGTGGGGATAGTGATGGAGATTGTGATGGGGATTGTTGTTCGGATAGTGATGGAGATTGTGATGGCCTTGTGGTGGGGAATGTGATATGGGTTGTGATGGGCCTTGTTATGGGGATTGGGATGGAAATTGTGATGGGGATTGTGATTGTGATGGGAGATTGTGATGGAGAATGTGGTGGGGATTTTGATCGTAATTGTGATGGGGATTGTGATGGGGATTGTGATTGGAGATTGTGATTTTGATTGTAATGGGGATTGTGATGGGAGATTGTGATTGTGATTGTGATGGAGATTGTGATGGGCCTTGTTATGGGGATTGTGATGGGCCTTGTGATCGGAAATTGTGATGGGGATTGTGATGGGCCTTGTGATGGACCTTGTGATGGAGATTGTGATGGGGCTTGTGATTGGCCTTGTGATGGAGATTGTGATGGGCCTTGTGATGTTAGATTGTGATGTTAGATTGTGATGGAGATTGTGATGGAGATTGTGATGGGGATTGTGGTGGGGATAGTGATGGAGATTGTGATGGGGATTGTTGTTCGGATAGTGATGGAGATTGTGATGTTAGATTGTGATGGGAGATTGTGATGGAGATTGTGATGGAGATTGTGATGGAGATTGTGATGGGGATTGTGGTGGGGATAGTGATGGAGATTGTGATTGGGATTGTTGTTCGGATAGTGATGGAGATTGTGATGTTAGATTGTGATGGGAGATTGTGATGGAGATTGTGATGGAGATTGTGATGGGGATTGTGGTGGGGATAGTGATGGAGATTGTGATGGGGATTGTTGTTCGGATAGTGATGGAGATTGTGATGGCCTTGTGGTGGGGAATGTGATGTGGGTTGTGATGGGCCTTGTTATGGGGATTTGGATTGGAATTGTGATGGGGATTGTGATTGTGATGGGAGATTGTGATGGAGAATGTGGTGGGGATTTTGATCGTAATTGTGATGGGGATTGTGATGGGGATTGTGATTGGAGATTGTGATTTTGATTGTAATGGGGATTGTGATGGGAGATTGTGATTGTGATTGTGATGGAGATTGTGATGGGCCTTGTTATGGGGATTGTGATGGGCCTTGTGATCGGAAATTGTGATGGGGATTGTGATGGGCCTTGTGATGGACCTTGTGATGGAGATTGTGATGGGGCTTGTGATTGGCCTTGTGATGGAGATTGTGATGGGCCTTGTGATGTTAGATTGTGATGGGAGATTGTGGTGGGGATTGTGGTTGAGCTTTAGAAGGGGATTGTGGTGGGGATTGTGATGAAGATTGTGGTGGGGATTGTGATGGAGTTTGTGATGGGGATTGTGATGGAGATTGTGGTGGGAATTGTGATGGAGATTGTGATGGAGATTGTGATGGGGATTGTGATGGAGATTGAAGTGGGGATTGTGATGGAGATTGTGGTGGGGATTGTGGTGGGGATTGTGATGGAGATTGTGATGGGGATAGTGATGGAGATTGAAGTGGGGATTGTGATGGAGATTGTGGTGGATATTGTGATGGAGATTGAAGTGGGGATTGTGGTGGAGATTGTGGTGGATATTGTGATGGAGATTGAAGTGGGGATTGTGATGGAGATTGTGGTGGATATTGTGATGGAGATTGAAGTGGGGATTGTGATGGAAATTGTGGTGGGGATTGTGATTGGGATAGTGATGGAGATTGTGATGGCCTTGTGGTGGGGAATGTAATGGGGATTGGGATGGGCCTTGTTATGGGGCTTGTGATGGAGATTGTGGTGGAAATTTTGATGGGGATTGTGATGGGGATTGAGAAGGGGATTGTGGTGGGTATTGAGTTGGGGATTGTGATGGAGATTGTGATGGAGATTGAAGTGGGGATTGTGATGGAGATTGTGATGGGGATTATGATGGGGATAGTGATGGAGATTGTGATGGACTTGTGGTGGGGAATGTGATGTGGGTCTTGTTATGGGGATTGTGATGGAAATTGTGATGGGGATTGTGATTGTGATGGGAGATTGTGATGGAGATTGTGGTGGGGATTTTGATCGTAATTGTGATTGTGATTGTGATGGAGATTGGGATTGGAGATTGTGATTGTGATTGTAATGGGAAGTGTGATGGGAGATTGTGATTGTGATTGTGATTGTGATTGTGATGGAGATTGTGATGGGCCTTGTGATGGGGATTGAGATTGGGATTGTGATGGGGATTGTGATGGTGATGGGGATTGTGATGGAGAATGTGATGGGGATTGGGATAGGCCTTGTTATGGGGATTGTGATTGGAGATTGTGATGGGGATTGTAATGGGAGATTGTGATGGGCCTTTGTTATGGGGATTGTGATGGGCCTTGTTAAGGGGATTGTGATGGGGATTGGGATGGGCCTCGTTATGGGGATTGGGATGGTCCTTGTTTTGGGGATTGTGATGGGTCTTGTTATGGGACTAGAGATGGGGCTTGTGATGTTAGATTGTGATGGGGATTGTGATGGGTCTTGTTATGGGGATTGTGGTGGAGATTGTGATGGGCCTTGTTATGGGGATTGTGATGGGCCTTGTTATGGGGATTGGGATGGGCCTTGTTATGGGGATTGTGATGGGAGATTGTGATTGGTCTTGTTATGGGACTAGAGATGGGGCTTGTGATGTTGGATTGTTATAGGGATTGTGATGGGCCTTGTTATGGGGATTGTGTTGGAGATTGTGATGGGGCTTGTGATAGGCATTGAGTTGTGGATTGTGATGGGGATTTTGATGGGAGATTGTGATGGGAGATTGTGATTCGTCTTGTTAGGGGACTAGAGATGGGGCTTGTGATGTTAGATTGTGATTAGGATTGTGATGGGCCTTGTTATGTGGATTGTGGTTGAGATTGTGATGGGGCTTGTGATGGGCCTTGTTATGGGGATTGAGTTGTTGATTGTGATGGGCCTTGTTATGGGGATTGTGATAGGAGATTGTGATGGGGATTGTAATGGGAGATTGTGATGGGTCTTGTTATTGGACTAGAGATGGGGCTTGTGATGTTAGATTGTGATGGGGATTGTGATGGGCCTTGTTATTGGGATTGTGGCGGAGATTGTGATGGGGCTTATGATGGGCCTTGTTATGGGGATTGAGTTGTTGATTGTAATGGGGATTGTGATGGGCCTTGTGATGGGGATTGGGATAGGAGATTGTGATGGGGATTGTAATGGGAGATTGTGATGGGTCTTGTTATTGGACTAGAGATGGGGCTTGTGATGTTAGATTGTGATGGGGATTGTGATGGGCCTTGTTATTGGGATTGTGGCGGAGATTGTGATGGGGCTTGTGATGGACCTTGTTATGGGGATTTAGTTGTTGATTGTGATGGGGATTGTGATTGGCCTTGTTATGGGGATTGTGATGGGCCTTGTGACTTTAGATTGTGATGGAGATTGTGATGGGGCTTGTGATTGGCCTTGTGATTGGCCTTGTGATGGGGCTTGTGATGGGCCTTGTTATGGGGATGGAGTTGTTGATTGTGATGGGGATTGTGATGGGCCTTGTTATGGGGCTTGTGATGGGCCTTGTGATCGGAAATTGTGATGGGCCTTGTGATGGAGATTGTGATGGGGCTTGTGATTGGCCTTCTGATGGAGATTATGATGTTAGATTGTGATGGGAGATTGTGATGGGCCTTGTGATGGAGATTGTGATGGGCCTTGCGACTTTAGATTGTGATGGGAGATTGTGATGGAGATTGTGATGGGGCTTGTGATTGGCCTTGTGATGCAGATTGTGATGGAGCTTGAGAAGGGGCTTGTGGTGGGGATTGAAGTGGGGATTGTGGTGGGGATTGTGGTGGAGATTGTGATGGGGATTGTGATGGGGATTGTGGTGGGGATTGTGGTGGGGATTGTGGCTGAGCTTGAGAAGGGGATTGTGGTGGGGATTGTGATAGAGATTGTGATGGGGATTGTGGTGGGGATTGTGAAGGGGATTGTGGTGGAGATTGTGGTGGGGATTGTGATGGAGATTGTGGTGGGGATTGTGATGGGGATTGTGATGGAGATTGTGATGGCCTTGTGGTGGGGAATGTGATGGGGATTGGGGTAAGTCTTGTTATGGGGATTGTGATGGGGCTTGGGATGGAGCTTGAGAAGGGGCTTGTGATGGGGATTGTGATGGAGATTGTGATTGGGATTGATGTGGTGGAAATTTTGATGGGGATTGTGATGGGGATTGAGAAGGGGATTGTGGTGGGTATTGAGTTGGGGATTGTGATTGAGATTGTGGTGGGGATTGTGATTGTGATTGTGGTGGGGATTGCGATGGAGATTGTGATGGAGATTTTGGTGGGGATTGTGATGGAGATTGTGATGGAGATTGTGATGAAGAGTGAAGTGGGGATTGTGATGGAGATTGTGATGGGGATTGTGGTGGGGATAGTGATGGAGATTGTGATGGGGATTGTTGTTCGGATAGTGATGGAGATTGTGATGGCCTTGTGGTGGGGAATGTGATATGGGTTGTGATGGGCCTTGTTATGGGGATTGGGATGGAAATTGTGATGGGGATTGTGATTGTGATGGGAGATTGTGATGGAGAATGTGGTGGGGATTTTGATCGTAATTGTGATGGGGATTGTGATGGGGATTGTGATTGGAGATTGTGATTTTGATTGTAATGGGGATTGTGATGGGAGATTGTGATTGTGATTGTGATGGAGATTGTGATGGGCCTTGTTATGGGGATTGTGATGGGCCTTGTGATCGGAAATTGTGATGGGGATTGTGATGGGCCTTGTGATGGACCTTGTGATGGAGATTGTGATGGGGCTTGTGATTGGCCTTGTGATGGAGATTGTGATGGGCCTTGTGATGTTAGATTGTGATGTTAGATTGTGATGGAGATTGTGATGGGGATTGTGGTGGGGATAGTGATGGAGATTGTGATTGGGATTGTTGTTCGGATAGTGATGGAGATTGTGATGTTAGATTGTGATGGGAGATTGTGATGGAGATTGTGATGGGGATTGTGGTGGGGATAGTGATGGAGATTGTGATGGGGATTGTTGTTCGGATAGTGATGGAGATTGTGATGGCCTTGTGGTGGGGAATGTGATGTGGGTTGTGATGGGCCTTGTTATGGGGATTTGGATGGAAATTGTGATGGGGATTGTGATTGTGATGGGAGATTGTGATGGAGAATGTGGTGGGGATTTTGATCGTAATTGTGATGGGGATTGTGATGGGGATTGTGATTGGAGATTGTGATTTTGATTGTAATGGGGATTGTGATGGGAGATTGTGATTGTGATTGTGATGGAGATTGTGATGGGCCTTGTTATGGGGATTGTGATGGGCCTTGTGATCGGAAATTGTGATGGGGATTGTGATGGGCCTTGTGATGGACCTTGTGATGGAGATTGTGATGGGGCTTGTGATTGGCCTTGTGATGGAGATTGTGATGGGCCTTGTGATGTTAGATTGTGATGGGAGATTGTGGTGGGGATTGTGGTTGAGCTTTAGAAGGGGATTGTGGTGGGGATTGTGATGAAGATTGTGGTGGGGATTGTGATGGAGTTTGTGATGGGGATTGTGATGGAGATTGTGGTGGGAATTGTGATGGAGATTGTGATGGAGATTGTGATGGGGATTGTGATGGAGATTGAAGTGGGGATTGTGATGGAGATTGTGGTGGGGATTGTGGTGGGGATTGTGATGGAGATTGTGATGGGGATAGTGATGGAGATTGAAGTGGGGATTGTGATGGAGATTGTGGTGGATATTGTGATGGAGATTGAAGTGGGGATTGTGGTGGAGATTGTGGTGGATATTGTGATGGAGATTGAAGTGGGGATTGTGATGGAGATTGTGGTGGATATTGTGATGGAGATTGAAGTGGGGATTGTGATGGAAATTGTGGTGGGGATTGTGATTGGGATAGTGATGGAGATTGTGATGGCCTTGTGGTGGGGAATGTAATGGGGATTGGGATGGGCCTTGTTATGGGGCTTGTGATGGAGATTGTGGTGGAAATTTTGATGGGGATTGTGATGGGGATTGAGAAGGGGATTGTGGTGGGTATTGAGTTGGGGATTGTGATGGAGATTGTGATGGAGATTGAAGTGGGGATTGTGATGGAGATTGTGATGGGGATTATGATGGGGATAGTGATGGAGATTGTGATGGACTTGTGGTGGGGAATGTGATGTGGGTCTTGTTATGGGGATTGTGATGGAAATTGTGATGGGGATTGTGATTGTGATGGGAGATTGTGATGGAGATTGTGGTGGGGATTTTGATCGTAATTGTGATTGTGATTGTGATGGAGATTGGGATTGGAGATTGTGATTGTGATTGTAATGGGAAGTGTGATGGGAGATTGTGATTGTGATTGTGATTGTGATTGTGATGGAGATTGTGATGGGCCTTGTGATGGGGATTGAGATTGGGATTGTGATGGGGATTGTGATGGTGATGGGGATTGTGATGGAGAATGTGATGGGCATTGGGATAGGCCTTGTTATGGGGATTGTGATTGGAGATTGTGATGGGGATTGTAATGGGAGATTGTGATGGGCCTTTGTTATGGGGATTGTGATGGGCCTTGTTAAGGGGATTGTGATGGGGATTGGGATGGGCCTCGTTATGGGGATTGGGATGGTCCTTGTTTTGGGGATTGTGATGGGTCTTGTTATGGGACTAGAGATGGGGCTTGTGATGTTAGATTGTGATGGGGATTGTGAACGGTCTTGTTATGGGGATTGTGGTGGAGATTGTGATGGGCCTTGTTATGGGGATTGTGATGGGCCTTGTTATGGGGATTGGGATGGGCCTTGTTATGGGGATTGTGATGGGAGATTGTGATTGGTCTTGTTATGGGACTAGAGATGGGGCTTGTGATGTTAGATTGTTATAGGGATTGTGATGGGCCTTGTTATGGGGATTGTGTTGGAGATTGTGATGGGGCTTGTGATAGGCATTGAGTTGTGGATTGTGATGGGGATTTTGATGGGCCTTGGGATGGGAGATTGTAATGGGAGATTGTGATGGGAGATTGTGATTCGTCTTGTTAGGGGACTAGAGATGGGGCTTGTGATGTTAGATTGTGATTAGGATTGTGATGGGCCTTGTTATGTGGATTGTGGTGGAGATTGTGATGGGGCTTGTGATGGGCCTTGTTATGGGGATTGAGTTGTTGATTGTGATGGGCCTTGTTATGGGGATTGTGATAGGAGATTGTGATGGGGATTGTAATGGGAGATTGTGATGGGTCTTGTTATTGGACTAGAGATGGGGCTTGTGATGTTAGATTGTGATGGGGATTGTGATGGGCCTTGTTATTGGGATTGTGGCGGAGATTGTGATGGGGCTTGTGATGGGCCTTGTTATGGGGATTGAGTTGTTGATTGTAATGGGGATTGTGATGGGCCTTGTGATGGGGATTGGGATAGGAGATTGTGATGGGGATTGTAATGGGAGATTGTGATGGGTCTTGTTATTGGACTAGAGATGGGGCTTGTGATGTTAGATTGTGATGGGGATTGTGATGGGCCTTGTTATTGGGATTGTGGCGGAGATTGTGATGGGGCTTGTGATGGACCTTGTTATGGGGATTTAGTTGTTGATTGTGATGGGGATTGTGATTGGCCTTGTTATGGGGATTGTGATGGGCCTTGTGACTTTAGATTGTGATGGAGATTGTGATGGGGCTTGTGATTGGCCTTGTGATTGGCCTTGTGATGGGGCTTGTGATGGGCCTTGTTATGGGGATGGAGTTGTTGATTGTGATGGGCCTTGTTATGGGGCTTGTGATGGGCCTTGTGATCGGAAATTGTGATGGGCCTTGTGATGGAGATTGTGATGGGGCTTGTGATTGGCCTTGTGATGGAGATTGTGATGTTAGATTGTGATGGGAGATTGTGATGGGCCTTGTGATGGAGATTGTGATGGGCCTTGCGACTTTAGATTGTGATGGGAGATTGTGATGGAGATTGTGATGGGGCTTGTGATTGGCCTTGTGATGGAGATTGTGATGGGGATTGTGATGGAGATTGTGATGGGGATTGTGGTGGGGTTTGAGATGGGCCTTGTCATGAGGATTGTGTTTGGGGGATTGATTTGTGGATTGAGATGGGCCTTGTGATGGGGCTCGTGATTGGGATTGTGATAGGCCTTGTTATGGGGATTGTGATGGTGTAGGACAAAACAGGCATAGATTCCATTAACATTATAAAACATCCACTGAATAAATCATGTTGACACTCCTATGTAAAGGCAAACTGGCAAACACCTATAAGTTCGTAAGTCTAGATTTCTTCAGTTTCACCCGGCTCCTTTCAGTAATATATTAAAAGACAATTTACTAAAGGAATCTGAAAATATTTTCAGATAATGCTAGTGTAAGCTTCTCTGCACACACATAAACAAGCACAGAGGCAACAGTTTCCATATTTACACAGAAGTACAGCTGGGCAGGCGGTGTCTAACAAAACCTCCTATCCCGCTGCTCCTTCACCTGTGTCTTCCTCCGGAGTCGGTGTCCATGATCTCTCCTGTATAAATGCAGCTTAGATAGGTACAATGTTATAACGGAGATGCTAATTGGGGGTTGTAGCATGTGGCAAATCCATAAGTCATGGAAATGTCAAAAGAGCACTCTGAGAAGCAGCTGTGGACAACATGGGAAATAGGGTAATTGCTGTTAGCATGCATGAGCTTTACACACTGGAATGGAGAAGAGGCTTGTTTTAACGAGGTTCCAGGTTCCGGGACTCAAACCAGGTCTTGAAGAGTTCAGCTGATCTCTTATGGGTCTGTGTCGCTTTGTCAAGTTACAAACAATCAGAGAGGTACCTGTGTCACATAGCAATCTTAGCACAAGAGCTGTAAATCTAGGCAAGAGTATGGGCACATGGTTATCTTAGAACTACAAAACCAAACCATCTCCGGTGCCGCGATCCGATGTGCACTAAATGACCATCCCACTCATTCAGCCATCTACTCACCCACCAACCTACTGACTCACCAACCCACCCAAATGTTCACCAACCAACCCAGCCTCTCACCAACCAGCCAACCAACCAACCCACCTAGTCACCAATCAACTCATCAACCACACTCACTCACCCATCCAAGCATTCACTAACAAACCCGCTCATTAACTCACCCACCGACTCATTAACTCACCCACCTACTCATTAACTCAACCAACCAACCAAACCACCCACCCACTCATTAACTTACTCACTCACAAAACCAAACCACTCGCTCACCCACTCAATGATCTCCCTAACCCATCCAAGCATTCACCACCAACCAACCCACTCACCAACCAACCAATCCAACCACTCACAAATCAACTCATCAACCAACACACTAACTCACCCACCCACTAACTCACCTACCCACCCAAGCCTTCACCAACCAACCCGCTCATTAACTCACCCATTTAATCATTAACTCACCTATCCACTCATTAACTCACCCACTCATAACTCACCCCCAACTCATTAACTCACCCACCTACTCATTAACTCACCCATCTTCTCATTAACTAACCCACTCACTCATTAACTCACCCACTTGCTCACACACTCAATGACCATCCATCTCACCAACACACCCACTCACCCGCCAACCAACCCACCAACCAAACCACTCACTCACCCACCAACCCACTGATTCACTCACCAACACACCAACCCACTCCACTCACTCATTAACTCACCCAACTCATTACCTCACCCACCAACCCACCCTCTCATTAACTCACCTAACCACTCACCAACCCACTCATTAACTCACCCACTCACCCAACTCACCCAACTCATTAACTCACCCACCCATTAACTGTACAGCAACAACAAATAACTATCGACAACAAAACAAATGAGCATATATTTTTTGAATGAATTACAGTACTTGAAATGGCAACACAAAGTGTATGTCATGGGTCATAATCATTATCGTATCAAAATACATAATAAAATGTAATTCTGGTCCGAAGCAGCCACGCCAGACCCTGCAAGCAGAGCCTGCCCTTATCTTTCTCTGCTGGTTATTTAATCAAGAGGAAATTGTTTTGGCAGCCCCAAGCTAAAATTATCCCATACATCTGTAATGTGCTGGGATTTATCCTGATGACATATTAGATGGGGACTCGACCAACTCATGGCCTGAGAGAGACATCAACAATAATGCAATAACTCTATGTTTAGAATGTTATGACTTTTTAGCGAAGTAATATGAGTATTATGCATGCTTTCTGCTTCCTTTACTTTGAGGGGCTGTGATGTATTTAGTGCTGTGGCACATAAAGTATGCATATCCTGTTTCTAGGGAGTGTTGTTGGTGCAGTATCCTTGTTTGGAGGAGTGGCTTGCTCAGTTTTATTGGTTTTCATATTTGTCTGTCAGACTGAAAAACATTTGTTGTGCAGATGATGTGGGTAATTGTTGATGTCAGATTTGGTGGGATTGAGATGTTTGTTTTTTGTTTGGGGAGGGGGGATGGTGGAGATGATGGTGCTGGGGATGGTGATATGATGTTAGTGGTGGTGAAAAAGGTGATGCTGGTGATGGTGCTGATTCAGTGCCCCAACAGTCCAACAAGACCAGTCCCTGCAGCATCTCCACATCTTGGAGATGCTCCAGGGACTGGTTTTGTCGGACTGTTGGGGTGGGCATGTCAAGATGCTCCAGGGACTGGTCTTGTTGGACTGTTGGGGTGGGCATGTCAAGATGCTCCAGGGACTGGTTTTGTCGGACTATTGGGGTGGGCATGTCAAGATGCTCCAGAGGCTGGTCTTGTTGGACTGTTGGGGTGGGCATGTCAAGATGCTCCAGGGACTGGTTTTGTCGGACTGTTGGGGTGGGCATGTCAAGATGCTCCAGAGGCTGGTCTTGTTGGACTGTTGGGGTTGGCATGTCAAGATGCTCCAGGGACTGGTTTTGTCGGACTATTGGGGTGGGCATGTCAAGATGCTCCAGGGACTGGTCTTGTTGGACTGTTGGGGTGTGCATGTCAAGATGCTCCAGGGCCTGGATTTGTCAGACTCTTGAGGTGGGCATGTCACAATGCTCCAGGGACTGGTCTTGTCGGACTGTTGAGGTGGGCATGTCAAGATGCTCCAGAGGCTGGTCTTGTTGGACGGTTGGGTAGGGCATGTCAAGATGCTCCAGGGACTGGTCTTGTCGGACTGTTGAGGTGAGCATGTCAAGATGCTCCAGGGACTGGTCTTGTCGGACTGTTAGGGTGGGCATGTCAAGATGCTCCAGGGCCTGGACTTGTCGGACTGTTAGGGTGGGCATGTCAAGATGCTCCAGGGACTGGTCTTGTCGGACTGTTGGGGTGGGCATGTCAAGATGCTCCAGGGCCTGGATTTTTCAGACTGTTAGGGTGGGCATGTCAAGATGCTCCAGGGACTGGTCTTGTTGGACTGTTGGGGTGGGCATGTCAAGATGCTCCAGGGACTGGTTTTGTCGGACTGTTGGGGTGGGCATGTCAAGATGCTCCAGGGACTGGTTTTGTCGGACTGTTGGGGTGGGCATGTCAAGATGCTCCAGGGACTGGTCTTGTCGGACTGTTGGGGTGGGCATGTCAAGATGCTCCAGGGCCTGGACTTGTCGGACTGTTAGGGTGGGCATGTCAAGATGCTCCAGGGACTGGTCTTGTCAGACTGTTGAGGTGGGCATGTCAAGATGCTCCAGGGACTGGTCTTGTCAGACTGTTGAGGTGGGCATGTCAAGATGCTCCAGGGACTGGTTTTGTCGGACTGTTGGGGTGGGCATGTCAAGATGCTCCAGGGACTGGTCTTGTCGGACTGTTGGGGTGGGCATGTCACAATGCTCCAGGGACTGGTCTTGTCGGACTGTTAGGGTTGGCATGTCAAGATGCTCCAGAGGCTGGTCTTGTTGGACTGTTAGGGTTGGCATGTCAAGATGCTCCAGAGGCTGGTCTTGTTGGACTGTTGGGGTGGGCATGTCAAGATGCTCCAGGGACTGGTCTTGTCGGACTGTTAGGGTGGGCATGTCAAGATGCTCCAGGGCCTGGACTTGTCGGACTGTTAGGGTGGGCATGTCAAGATGCTCCAGGGACTGGTCTTGTCAGTCTGTTGGGACGTGCATGTCAAGATGATCCAGAGGCTGGTCTTGTCGGACTGTTGGGGTGGGCATGCCAAGATGGTCCAAGGACTGGTCTTGTCGGACTGTTTGGACAGGCATTTGGGTATGTTGTTCCCTGGAGCATTTTGACATACCCAGACTGACACATAGACGGATTCCAGACAAAACTCTCTGACCTCTTCTTCTCGAGGTCATCAGTCCCAGGTGACACAATGTAAAGATGCCAGGGAGGTGTGAAAGTCACTCAGTGGAAACCGTGAGAACCAACTGTAATCTCCACCCGCCCTGTAACAACTGGGGGGGGGGGGGATGTGAGGTGCAGTTGAAGGGGGGTAATTTTATATCTATGGAAAGAGAATTTTTGCAGACAAAATAGAAATATTTTGTGTTCCAGTGCATAATCATTGTTTATAATGATTGTTGATGAGGAGCATGTTGATGATGATGTAATATTTTTTGCACACAACACATTTTGTCCAGAAATGTTAAACACATCTGAGACACCCCCACCCCACCCCCATGCACAACACAGGTCAGCAAAGATGCAAATGAAATGTAGTCCTCCTATCCAGCGTGAGAACAAGTGTTAAGATAGGAGGGGAGTTGAGTATGTAAGAGTAGACAGCCTGGGGGACTTGGTGTGCTCTATAAATGTTGGTAACACCTGTTAACGATGACTCTGAACCCAAGTGAACATTTATTTGGCAGGGTGATCACGAGGCTCCATTGGGTAAACACCTGATAAAAAAAGACTTGAAACTGAGGGTCTGGAGGAGTGGGTCATGATAGTTAGTGTTATTATACTTAATTCCTCTATTACATCATAGCCATAAATTGTCACTTTGGCTGTCGTCACACCAGAAAAGCTTTAGATTTTCAACAGACGTCCTCTGATTATTTTTGAGGTAAACTCTTTTCTCAGGCTCCCAAGGTGGGAAAACGTAACTTCTTTCCTGTGTGATGACCCTGTCCTACACAGCTGTATTGTCCATGAAGATACTGTTAAGCTACGGCCTTCAGCAACCCATGCTGGTTGTCAGGTGTAACCTATGGGATCGGGTGGTCAGGTTCGCTGACTTAGTCGATGCATGTCATCATATCCTAATTGCATAGATTGATGCTCATGATGTCAATCACTGGATTGTCAGGCCCAGGCTTGATTATTTACAGTCTGCCATCATATAGCTGAAATGTTGCTGAGTGTGGCATTAAACAATAAACAAACAAACAAACAAACAAATAACAGCTATAATGCCTGTAAGAATGTGAATTATACCACAGAATATAGCAAATTGTCATGTAAACTTTCGGGCGCAGATAATTTGCAGCTTGCTGTAAAAGTTAATGGTTGTGCACTTATTGGAGCTGGGCACTCAGTATGGTGAATATGGTTGCCCTTTTATTTAAATGGTTGGCAATATTTGAAGGAATGAGTGGGTATGGTAACATGATGCTTTAAGCAATATTCCAGCAATTGGCCACAATTGGCCTTCACACATTGTAGGGAATTGAACCTGGGCCTTTTGCATGAAGAACAAACACCTTGACCACCAGGCTACTTAACTATAGGTACTTGGGACTAAATATGATGGGGAGGGTTGTGATAGTGAAACTGGTGGTGATGAAATCTAATAATTAATTTATTATGGACCGCCTCTATGGTCTAGTGGATAAAGCGTCTTTCCAGTGAGCGAGAGGTCAGTGTTCGATCCCTGGCTGCGTCATGCCAATAAATTTTAAAACATGGGACTGATGCTCATCATTAGTTACTGGTTGGTTCGACATCAATATACTGTGTCTGAATGGTGCTTTCATGTTGAACTGTGGCACGGTATCTCAGTGAGCTATCACCATAACACTGGCAAAAGTCTGGAGTTGACAAGCAAACACACACAATGCATGCATGTCAATATATTATACAGGTGAAATAATCTTGAATGTGACATTAAAACCCCATTTTACCTTACCTCACCTCGCCTAATGTAAGTTTAATAGAGTGTATTATATGTACCGGTAGCCTGTCACAAAAGAAATTGTTAGACTGCAACTTCCTTATACAACAGTTGTAACACTAAGACTGCAACTTCCTTATACAACAGTTGTAACACTAAGACTGCAACTACCTTATACAACAGTTGTAACACTAAGACTGCAACTTCCTTATACAACAGTTGTAACACTAAGACTGCAACCTCCTTATACAACAGTTGTAACACTAAGACTGCAACTACCTTATACAACAGTTGTAACACTAAGACTGCAACTACCTTATACAACAGTTGTAACACTAAGACTGCAACTTCCTTATACAACAGTTGTAACACTAAGACTGCAACCTCCTTATACAACAGTTGTAACACTAAGACTGCAACTTCCTTATACAACATTTGTAACACTAAGACTGCAACTACCTTATACAACAGTTGTAACACTAAGACTGCAACTTCCTTATACAACAGTTGTAACACTAAGACTGCAACCTCCTTATACAACAGTTGTAACACTAAGACTGCAACTACCTTATACAACAGTTGTAACACTAAGACTGCAACTACCTTATACAACAGTTGTAACACTAAGACTGCAACTTCCTTATACAACAGTTGTAACACTAAGACTGCAACTACCTTATACAACAGTTGTAACACTAAGACTGCAACTTCCTTATACAACATTTGTAACACTAAGACTGCAACTACCTTATACAACAGTTGTAACACTAAGACTGCAACCTCCTTATACAACAGTTGTAACACTAAGACTGCAACTACCTTATACAACAGTTGTAACACTAAGACTGCAACCTCCTTATACAACAGTTGTAACACTAAGACTGCAACTTCCTTATACAACAGTTGTAACACTAAGACTGCAACTACCTTATACAACAGTTGTAACACTAAGACTGCAACTACCTTATACAACAGTTGTAAAACTAAGACTGCAACTACCTTATACAACAGTTGTAAAACTAAGACTGCAACCTCCTTATACAACAGTTGTAACACTAAGACTGCAACTACCTTATACAACAGTTGTAACACTAAGACTGTAACTTCCTTACACAACAGTTGTAAAACTAAGACTGTAACTACCTTATACAACAGTTGTAACACTAAGACTGCAACTTCCTTATACAACAGTTGTAAAACTAAGACTGCAACTTCCTTATACAACAGTTGTAAAACTAAGACTGCAACTTCCTTATACAACAGTTGTAACACTAAGACTGCAACTTCCTTATACAACAGTTGTAACACTAAGACTGCAACTTCCTTACACAACAGTTGTAAAACTAAGACTGCAACTTCCTTATACAACAGTTGTAACACTAAGACTGCAACTTCCTTACACAACAGTTGTAAAACTAAGACTGCAACTACCTTATACAACAGTTGTAACGCTAAGACTGTAACTTCCTTACACAACAGTTGTAAAACTAAGACTGTAACTACCTTATACAACAGTTGTAACACTAAGACTGCAACTTCCTTATACAACAGTTGTAAAACTAAGACTGCAACTTCCTTATACAACAGTTGTAAAACTAAGACTGCAACTTCCTTATACAACAGTTGTAACACTAAGACTGCAACTTCCTTATACAACAGTTGTAACACTAAGACTGCAACTTCCTTACACAACAGTTGTAAAACTAAGACTGCAACTTCCTTATACAACAGTTGTAACACTAAGACTGCAACTTCCTTACACAACAGTTGTAAAACTAAGACTGCAACTTCCTTATACAACAGTTGTAACACAGAGTGAAAGTTGGCCCAGGTGAGCTAATAAGCAATTTCATCACAAAGAAGCATTTTTTTCCTTTAAAAAATAAGTAGATAGGTTGTTTTGCATAAGAATTGTGAACTTAGTTTAGACAAGTGGGAGTCAGCACT